AAAAAAAAAAAAGGATACAACCCCGGCTGGTCAAGCCAGATATGACCTTCACAACGACCTGTTGTGGCCGTCAATGATCAAGCTGTGGCACCATAGAGGCCCCAACCAGATTCATGCTCCGCTGAGATGGGAAGAGATATGGAACCAGCCGCTGTTTGGTCACCCCCAGGTAGTGGACGACACAGGCGCCCCGTTCCTACTGACAGGAAGGTCGAAATGGAAACAATGGGTTAAAAAAGGAGTGTATAAAGTTGGAGACCTATGGAATATTCAGTCTACATCTTGGAAAACGGTGAACGACCTGCGGACGCAAACTGGGCACATGAAGGATATGGACCTGGGCTTACGGGAACTGGAAGGAGCTATCCCGTTAGCCTGGGTCCAAACCCTGAGGAAAAGGCCAGACATCAGATTTGGGGACTGGGTCATTCATGAGGACTCAGTCCTCCTTCCAATGACAATCTACAAGGTCCACCAATTGCAGGGACCAGAGGCCGGTCTTCATGCCTACTCCCAGGAGAAAGATGGTCAGAACGACAACGCCAAGAGGAACTACAACGCCAAGAGGACCTAGATAGAGGACACCATACTGACTCCCTCAAAAGAGTGAGAGTAGTAGAGGACCACAAACAGGGCGCATACTTATATGAGCCCTTCACCCCCATCCACTCCCTGCCATTCGACCCAATACAATGGGAATGGAGATGGGGAGACCGGAAAAGAATGATGCCCTGCATATAATATACTGTTAAAAAGGTGTACAGGGTGGCGCCGTCAGCCCGGAAACCTGTACACACAATGGAACGGATATTGGCAAGATGGGAGAGGGATTCTCCCGTTAAGCGTCATGAATTCCGATCATTGTTCAAATGGTCAAATCACTCCCATATCAAACCCACCAATCAAAGGGCACTACAGTGGCAGATCATCCACCGCCGTTTGCCTACATCTGATTGGATCTGCCAGTGTGACAGATCAGACCTCGAGAAAAGAGGAATATTGTCACCATTGTGTGCTTACTGCACGCACGCCCACCCGAGGAGAAGGGCAACCTTGGAAGATTGCTTGTTAGAATGTCAAATGGTTGTTCAACTATGGCAGTGGTGGGACGCAGCATGGCATTACATTTCCGGCGAACACCTTGAAGTTCCCTGGAACACCTATACGATGTTGCTAAGGGAGGGGGGGGGGGGGGGGGGGGGGGGGGACCGCCAAACGGAGACGGATGGTCGCCCTTCATGATGAACCTTTTTAAACAAACACGCCTTACGCACTTGATGGCTGCCTGGAGGATGTGCTGCACCTTCGAAAGAAAGCGGCACACCTTTGGATACATGGAAGCTCGAGCGACCATAATAGAGACCATCACAATAAAGACCCATGAGGCATGGAAGGACATGCGAGAAATGGTACAGAAAGAACCGGATGAAGAAAGGAAAGCGGACATCCGGGAATCCTTCTCCTCTTTATGGACGGACAGAAACAACAGAAATTGCCGTTTGGACCACGAGGACGACCTGCAATGGCAGCAGCACTGGGTGTCGACTGAGGAGCACTGCCAGTGGGAGCGACTACCCAGGCAAAACTTCGAAGTACAATACAATCCGACAAACTTCGTAATAATCCATACCGGTCAGTAGAACCTCCCTGGAACATTTGCTTCTCCCCCAGTGTCCCTCCCCTTCAGGACACCTCCATCACAGTCGCCACCGCCCACCTCCCACCTCCCACCTTAACCTCTCCCCTGCCCACATCCTCTGCCCCCCCCCCCTTGGCC